TATACATTCATGATACTAGTCCTGTGTCAATTATATGTGCTTCATATAAGCATTTAAAATCATAAATTTTCCTCTAAGTACCACTTTATGCCACACATTTTCATGTGTTGTATTTTTGTTATCTGTGTCAAATGGTTTTCTAATTTCTTTATGACTTATTTTTTGACCCAGGGGCTATTTAGAATTATGTTTCTGAATTCAAAATTAGGACTTGCTTTTAATTAAAAACTTTTATTGAGATAATTTATATACCATAAAATTCACCCTTTAAAATGTACCCTTCAGTGGTTTTTAGTATGTTCACAAAGTTGTGCAACCACCACCACCACTGTCTAATTCCAGAACATTGACATCACTTCAGAAGAACCCTTTTACCCATTAGTAGTCATCACTTTTTCCTCCCTCAGCCCCTGAGAAACACTGATTTCTGTCTGAATTGATTTGCTTATTCTGAACACTTAATAGAAACAGAATTATATAATTTTGTGCCTGGCTTCTTTTACTTAATGTTTTCAAGGTTCATCCACGTTGTATCAGTACTCCATTCCTGTTTATGGCTGAATAACATTTCATTGTATTTTATTGTTCAGTCAATGGACATCATAGTCTTAAATGTAAAATAAAAGACCATTAAACTTTCAGAAATAACACAGGAGAAAATCTTCAAGATCTAGGCCTAGACAAAGCATTATTATACTCTGTCTAAGAGACACAAAAGTATCATCCATAAGAGGAAAAACAAACTTCATTGAAATGAAAAAAACACACACACATTTGCTGTTTTTAGACCTATTAAGAGGATAAAAAGGCAAGCTACAGACTGGGAAAATATGTTTGCAAACCATGTTGTAGCATGTTTCAGATCAGATTTTGTTCCTTTTAAGGCTGCATAATCATTTCGTTTTTGTTTACCATATTTTATTCATCCATTGATCCTTTGATGGACATTTGGATTGCTTCTACCTGTTGGCTATTGTGAATAATGCCGCTACGAATGTGGGTGTGCAAATACCTATTTGAGTCTCTGCTTTCAATTCTTTTGGTTATATCCCTAGAAGTGGAATTGCTGGATCATATGGTAGTTGTATTTGTAATTTTTTGAGGAACCATCCCGCTGTTTGCCACAGAGACGGCATCACTTTACATTCTCACCACCTAACCAGAATCTCCTACCCAGGCACCTGCTCATCTGTAGGCCCCTACAGCTTTCACAAGAGCTGCTTACTGCTTCTCGTGGGCTTTTCAGCCTAAGATCGGAGCTGTTCTGCTTTTCCCTACCTGAGCTCTGAAGTTGATTAAAACAGGGTGGTCCTCAGGCAGCCCCCACACAGATTAGCACGTTGCAAACAGGGTCTGCTCCATTGGGTTGGGGGCAGTGTATTGGCAGTTGGACCACTGCCATCTTCTCTAGAAAAGGGGGTGGGGCAAGGATGAGTAAAAACACCATGAAACTTCCTACCATGTTTAGGCTTTTTCTTGATTGGGTGTTCATTTGTTTGCTGTAGACCTTTGACTGTTTTCTAGCATTCCTACTAAATTATTTTCTCCGATCTCTAATTAAAAAAATATTTCCACAGGGAAAAGAGAGCCTGGAGTTACCTAGTCCATCATCTTGATGATGTTGCTCCTCATTGCTGGGCTTTTGGTTGGAATTCTACTAAATTCTATCAACTTTGGGAGAATTGTCAGCTTTCCTGTGGTAAGTCTTCCAATTCATGAACACAACACATCTCTCCATTTCTTAAAATACCTTTGAGTTCTTTCATCAGCATGTGTAGTTTTCAGTTTTTGTTTTTTTTAAATATATTTTATTGATTTTCCACAGAGAAGAAGGGAGAGGGACAGAGAGCCAGAAACATTGATGAGATAGATCAGCTGCCTCCCGCACGCCCCCCAGTGGGGACGTGCCCGCAACCAAGGCACATGCCCCCGACCGGAATCGAACCCGGGACCCCCGAGTCTGCAGGCCGATGCTCCATCCACTGAGCCAAACCGGTTCGGCGTAGTTTTCAGTTTATACAGCCTATGCATATTCATTAGATTTATATCTACATTAGAGGCCCAGTGCACGAATTCGTGCACAGGTAAGGTCTGGCTGGCCCAGCTCCAGATCAGGGGCGGATCAGGGCCGGGCCTGTCAGGAGGAGGTGACGGGAGGTTGTCCGGCCAGCCCACACCAATTGGGCTCAGCAGGGCTGGGCCGGCTGGGGGGAGGAGCCACGGGCGATTGGCTGGTGGGCCCCGCCCCTGGTTGGGGTGGGAGGGATTGGGGGCAGGGCTGGCCGTTGGGAGGAGCTGTGGGCAGTGGGCCGGCTGGCCCCACCCCCAAATGGGGTGGGGGGGCCGATCAGGGGTTAGTAGCTGGGGGAAGAGTGGTGGGAGGTTGGCCAGCCAGCCCCACCCCCGATTGGTGGGGGGGGGGCGATCAGGTGTGGAGCTGGCTGGGGGGAGGGGCCTCAGGCCAATCGGGGTGGTGGGGGCCCATTGGGGGTGGGGCAGGCCGGGGGGAGGGGCTGCAGGAGGTTGGCCGACCGGCCCCACCCCCATATTGGCCGGTTCGCTGGCTGCAGTGGGCATCATAGTGGTCGTTCTGGTGTTCCAATCACTGGCTTTTTAAATATATATAGATAGTTCTCTTGTTGTAAGCCATTGGGAATGATAGTGTATTTTAGTTTGGGTGTTTAAGTGTTCATTGCTAGCATATAGAAGTACAATTGATTTTTGTACATTAATACTGTGTTCTCTGACCTTGCTGGACTAACTAATTACGAGTGTTTTTCTGGATTTCTTCAGATTTCCTACATGGAGCATCATGTCATCTGCTAATAGGGACAGTTTCATTTCTTCCTTTCTGAACTTTATGCCTCTTACTTCCTTTTCTTTCCTTACTGCACTGACTGGAACTTATGTTGATTAAGATTGTTCCCAGGCTTAGAGAGAAATCATCCTGTTTTTTATCTTTACGGATAATGTTATCGGTAGCGTGTGTTTTTAAGTTGAGGAAACTCTCGTCTGTTTCAGTTTTTCTGAGAGTTTAACGTGAATGATTGTTGAATTTTTGTAAATGTGTTTTTCTGTATGAGTTGATTTGATAAACTTATTTTTCTCCTTTAGCCTGCTATTATGGATTACATTGAGTTTCAAATATTGAACCAGCTTTGCACCCACAAATAAACCTCATGGTGTACAATTCTTTCTACATCATACTTAATTCCATTTGATAATATTTATTCAGGATTTTTTTGTCTGTATTCACGAGAGATATTGGTCTATAGGTTTTCTTTCTTTCTGTTTTTGTGTGTGTACTATGTTTGTCTGGTTTTGGTATCAGGGTAACATTAGTTTCTTAAAATGAGTTGCTAAGTGTTCTCTCCCCCTGTGTTTTCTGGAAGAGATTGTGTAGAATTGGTGTTAATTTTTCTTTAAATATTTGGTAGAATTATCAAGTGAAAACATCACAGCCTGGAGATTGCTTCTGGGGGAATTTCTAGATTATAAATTCAATATTTTTAATAATTATAAAACTATTTAAATTACTCATCACATAATGAGCAAGTTGTGGTAATTTGTGTTTTTCAAAGAATTGGTTTCTTTATCTAAGTTGTCAAATTTGTGTGTGTAGAGTTGTTTATAGTATTCCCTTAGTAACTTTTTGAAGTCTTCAGGGTCTCTTTGTATTTTTTTTTTTGTCAGTTTTGCTAGAGGTTTACTTGATCTTTTCAAGTAACCAGCTCTTTCTTTTATTGATTTTTCTCTATTTTTCTGTTTTCAGTATTATTGATTTCTGCTTTTACCTTCATTACTTCCTTCTGCTTACATTGGGTTTATTTTGCTTTTCATTTTCAAGGTTCTTGAAGATGGGAACTTAATTGATTTGAGCCTTTTTTTTCCTTTTCTGAAGTGTTTAGAAATTTATTTATTGCTATAAATTTCCCCCTCAGCACTGTATTAGCTGTGTTCCACAAATGTTGTATTTTCCTTTTCAAAAGTAAGCTTATTTTTGATAAACTTATTTTTGATATATTTTTTATTTCCTTTGATGCTTCCTCTTTGACCTGTGAATTTAGAAATATGTTCCTTAATTTCCAAGTCATCTATATGATTTCAATTCTCTTATTGTTTAAGTGTGTTCTGTGGCCCACTATATGGTCTGTTTTCTTGTATTTTCCATGGGCACTCGAGAAGAATGTATAAACTGTAGTGGGGTAGGGTGTATAAATGTTGATTAGATCCTTTTGGTTTATGGTATTTTGAGTTCTATATCTTGGCTAGTTTTCTGTCCAGGTGTGTGTATTTGTTGCTTATTGCTGCTGTGACAAATTACCATGCATGGGCTTAAAACAACATAAACTTATTATCTTCCACTTCTGTAAGTCACAAGTGTGTGACACATGACTCTGTGGGTTGAGATGAAAGTGTTAGCCAGCCTGTGGTCCTCCGTGGAGGCATTTCCTTGCCTCTTCCAGTTTCTGTGGGCTGCCTACACTCCTTGGGTCATAGTCCCCTTTCTGTAACTTCACAGCAGAAACAGAGAATAGAACACTGATACCAGGCGAGAGGGGCTATGATAGCATTCCCACTTGCCCCTCGATGGCTGAGACAATCCAGTAACATCGTGTATGAGGAAAAGATTTAAGCACTATGACCTGCTGTATATTTATACAGCACTAGATAAAAAGGAGTCATTTTATTATGATTATGTTAAGAGTAGACTCTTGAAGACTAAACACTGTCAAAGAAGGGGTGAATTTTGGACCCCATGATAAGGAGAAGGGGATGGGGTTCCTATAGGGAGTCAGAGAGGGACCCTCTCTCTGTTTAAGCTTGTAAAATGTTAGTACCTACTTGGTATTCCTCTTTGTGGTCTCTGCCCTGGGGGATCCCTTCACTTTGACGAATGTGTGGAACGGGTTAAAAATGCATCTGTTTCCATGTGTGATGTGAAGGACACTTAGGCTGACCCTGCAACTGACGGAAAAGAAATCTGTCTGGAGTCTGTATTCTGTAACCATGCGGGATTTATTGAAAAACAAAAGAATGTTGAGAGATGGATTTGGGGGACAGAGAAAACAGGGCAGAGACGAGTGGGTAGGAGAGGCATGGTATGGAGCATCCAGTCTGACACTCAGGCAGAGGCACATGTGACTGGCTGTTGACTGGAAAAGAAACGAAATATAAACTGGGCCCAGTAGGTGGGTGGAGGACTTTTGCTGCCTGAGTCAGAGCCAGCAGCAAGGAAGAGCACCAGCTTCTAGGTCTTGTTGCAGAAAGATGCATCCCGACAGCAGATAAGTTGCATCCTGGTTCCATGGGAGAAGAGGCTCATCGATGGGCACATATTCTCACATCCCTGAACCATGAATTCAAGTTTTCCACCTGAAAGAAGCAGAAACAGACTGTAGTGAGCGAGCAGAAGCCTTCATCCCGTGGTCCCCAGTGCCCTCATGCTGGCACGAGTGAGACCTCCCGTTCCATTTGCCTCTGCTAGGCCCTTCCCTCCATCTGTTGCCCACTCCCTCTATTGAGGGACCAAACAAACTATAAGGGAAGTCAGGCAATGTGGTTTACAGGATGGAAGTAACCAAGATCCCTTATTTTGGGGATGAGGGTAGAGAGGTATAGCTATATACTCTGACAGTTCTGGCAACCTATGGGCACAGACTGGTAGACAATTGTTTATTCATTTATTCAGTATTTACTAAATACCTACCATGTGCTGGACATTGTGCTACGTGCTAGGAATATATAGCCATGAACAAGATAGACACAGTCCTAAGCTTACAGTCAGTGACTCAAGGGGCAACTCCTATTTCTTTAGTAAGAAGAGACAGTCATTCTTCCTGCCTCCTTTAAGACCTGCTGGGAAGGGACTCTATCTCTCCATCAGCAGCTGGAATTCTACTCTTACTTCTTGAAAGGATAAGGTTTTGTTGAATTTCCAAGTTTCTGGGAAGCACAGCTCGATTCCTCCTCCGCACCACCCAACTACTCCCCATGAATACTCAAGTTGGTTGATGTGTTTGCTGGCAAAGATCGCCTCATGAAGTCCCCACTATACCTTCAAAGATCTTCTTTAACATGCACTGCTGGGAATTCTGAATGGTGCAGGATCCCTCTCCACGAAGACATTTTGCTTCACTATTCATATAAGAGCATGTGTGGCAGTTTATCGCTGGGCCTGAAAATTTAAGATAAGCCCTGATGAAATTCTCTTGGGTAGCTCTGAGTCACACCTCTGGGGATGGATGATGGGCAACTTGGAGCCTGGACACAACACATTTCATTTCTTGGTTCTTGTTGGGTATCTGAGGGCCCTGTGTCTCATAGAGCATATTCTTTCTTCTCTACCAGTGAAATCCCTTCATTCTTTCTGCTTCATCTATGATGTTCATTGCTGATGAATCCCAAATGTATCTCTCTGATACTAACTTTTGCTCCAATTAATATCCCCATTGACTTCCTGGGCATCTATAATTAGATGTCTATTTATAGGTCTGCCATGTCTAACAATAGGAGCAAAGGAGAACTTATTACATGACTGATGCCCTTTAGTACTCTCCTCCATACTCTCACTTACCCACAGGCACAAACCCTTGGAGTAAAATTTGACTAATAAGCTACATTAGAATGCTCTCATTTTGCTAACCCTACAAAGCAGTGGTTCTTAACCTTCTGGCCCTTTAAATACAGTTCCTCATGTTGTGACCCAACCATAAAATTATTTTCGTTGCTACTTCATAACTGTAATGTTGCTACTGTTATGAATCGTAATGTAAATATCTGATATGCAGGATGGTCTTAGGCGACCCCTGTGAAAGGGTCGTTCAACCGCCAAAGGGGTCACGACCCACAGGTTAAGAACCGCTGCTATGAAGAGTCTGTACTGTTCTCCATTTTCAAGTCGACCTTTATGAGAAGGTCAGTTTGTCACAAAGGGCATTCTCTTTGAAAGGCTTCTCTGTTGCCTTTTGGACTCTCTCCACTGCCAATTCCCTAGTTAAGGGCATAAGAAGTGAAAAAAATATATATATATATCACTTTGTCAGACCTAAGTTTGAATCCAAGGTTTGCTATTTTTTAACCATGTGATGTTAGTATCACTTCTCTCATCTGAAAATTTGGGGTACTACTACTTATGCAATGGGGTAAAATATGAAGTATTTATGTCTGGTAATAACTTAAGGCCTCAAACCTTGGATCTAGTTTTTAATTCCTCGAACAACCCATTTTTATTAAGAGCCAAAGGATTGCCATTGTCCTGGGAACTTATTTTTGGATCTAACAGAATATCTTCATGTTCTACTTTTTATGTTCAAACAAACAAACAAAAACACACACCAAAGCCACCAGCTTGGAAGCTAGATATTTCTCTCTTTTTTTAAAAAAAAATATATTTTTATTGATTTCAGTGAGGAAGGGAGAGTGAGAGTGAGAGATAGAAGCATCAATGATGAGAGAGAGAATCATTGATTGGCTGCCTCCTGCACTCCCCCCGCCCCCCCTCTAATGGGGACCAAGCCTGCAACCCAGGAATGTGCCCCAACTGGGAATCGAACCGTAACCTCCTGGTTCATAGGTTACCACTGAGCCATGCTGGTTGGGCTAGATAGCTCTTTACAGGGTTTGCAAAGCATTCTAACAGTCTGCTAAGAGGCAGGTTTAGCACGAAGCTCTTGAAGATTAGTCTTCCAGAAGCCCCTTCCATGGGAGCTGTGAGCATTTGTAGTCACAATTTCTTATGTAAAGTGAGGTTGGAGGGCCTGCTGGCCTCTTGCATTTGTGTTATTTTTCTTAAAAGAGGACCTTCCTAATGGGTTCGCCTGTAGAGAGAGTCCCTGGGAGAACGGTTTGCGAAGTGTTTGTGAACTATATTCTCTCTTCTACACTCTTGGGTCCCTTGATGTGTTGCCTCCTTCCCAACTGAAGGCAAGGCCTGGCACCCATCACACGTGGCTCACCTGCACTGGTTGCCGCTGGGCTGCCTGAAGGCTGTTCCCCCGAAGCCTGTTCACCCGAAGGCTGTTCACCCGAAGCGTGTTCACCCGAAGCGTGTTCACCCGAAGGCTGTTCACCTGAAGGTTGTTCCTTGGCGGCCAGTTCAGTCACAGCTTGTCCACCGGCAGCTTGTTCAGCCGGAGCCGGTTCAGCCGGAGCCGGTTCAGCCGGAGCCTGTTCAGCTGGAGGTGGCTCACCCGCAGCCTGCACACCTGGAGGTGGTTCACCGGGAGCATGTTCACCCGCAGCATGTTCACCTGCAGCGTGCTCACCCACACCGGGCTCACCTGAAGGGTGCTTACCTGAACTGTGCTCACCGGAAGCGCGTCCCACTAAAGCGTGCTCGAATGCAGCCTGCTTGCTGAAAGCGTCCCGGCCTGCAGAAGTGTCAAAGAAAGCCTTGCGGTCTGAAGGGGTTGCAAGTGAAAAGGGCTCACCTGAAAATTGCTGGACGGAAGCTTGATGATTCAAAGAGCCAGGAGGCTCATCCAGCTGACTTGGTGCTCCTGGGATGGAGAAGGAACAGAAACAAAAGATGAGGAGGAGGAGAGAATGCGTGTCCGGGGTAAAGACTACTTTCCTGTGGAGGAAGGGTCCTAGGCTTCCTGTGGGCCTGTATCAGGCAACGGAAGATATTACAGATGCTGGAGGAAGCCAGCTAATTATACACAACGGAATGCTACTCAGCCATAAGAAAAGACGGAAGACTGCCATTTGAGACAGCATGGATGGATGGACCTTGAGAATATTACGCTAAGTGAAATAAGTGAGTCAGAAAAAAAGTGAAGAACCATCTGATTTCACTCATCTGTGAGATATAAAACTGAAACTGTGGACACAAAGAACAGTGTGGTGGCTGCCAGAGGGAAGGGGTGGGGGCGATGAAGGGGGCCTAATATATGGTGATGGAAAATGATTTGCCTTTGATTGGTGGGCACACAGTGCAATATACAGATCTTGGTATCAAAGAAATACACACTTGAAACCTACATGATCCTGTTAACCAATGTCACCCTGATAAATTTAATTAAAAAATAAATGTCTACTGAACACAAACATTACCAGATGGAATTAAGACACCTTTATTTGGCAATTTCAACTTCTTCCCCGCACTCAATCCCCTATCTATGTGGGTTGGAGACTCAAAGCAAAGTTGCTATCAATCTTAAGATAAAAACATCCTTTGCTTATATATCTGAACTGAGATTCCTTGTGACATAACATTTACACCCACTTCATGGACTTGTCATGAGTAGCCAGTAAGATAAATTGTGAAATGCCTAGTCCATTGCTAAAGTGCTCAATTCATTTTAGTTTCCTCTCCTCCCCTTACACTGGGAATTACAAAACTCTTAGCTGGGCATTCTCTTCTGGCCAGTCCCTTCTGCCTTTAGTCCATTTCATCAATGACTGTAGACAGATATTCCTTAATTATGACTTTCATTTTATCGAGTGAAGCACCCAATAGAATTTGAGTATTACTCTTTGAATTGACTGAGTAACCTAGAGGAGGGAGAGCAAACTACAATGACTGAGTTATTAACCTAGCCAAAAGCTGAGAGGAATTACAAGATCTTTCAGACAGGTAGCCTATGGCCCCAAAATCCTCTAGCTCTATAAGAGTTCTGACTCATTTATTCACTCTGGGTGATCTGCAGTCCTTAAAATCAATGACTTCCTGGAAAAACTAAGCTCATAATATGTGGATAAAGGAGGAAAGGTAAGACTTAGTAAGGCTTTTAGGAGGTTTTTATTTTTAAAAGGCCGTTACAGAATTATCTGCTTGACTGGTTCTTCAATAGTTAACAGAAGCTTTAACAAAGAGATATTTGTACTATAGAAAGGAAGCTTGAAAAAGTACACTGATTTCTTAGTCATCCTTATAGTTTCTGAGTCACTGCTTTGCCGTGGGGCTGACATATATTACCACCTGGTAGCTATGCATCTATGTTTATGAGTCAACCTTTGAAAAATCTAAAAAATCCAAAAACAAAATGTCTGAGAACTGACATTACAGGACAACGCTTTGTCATCTAACCAACAGCTCAGAGTTCATGGCCTCTCTCTTCTCCCGGAGGAAGAAGGAGGGAACACAGCCCACCATGAATGTGGGTCCTAAAGAGGAAATACAGACACCTGGAAGGCAGGAACGAGAGGTGTGCCAGTAAACTCTGGCCCCAGCCCTGCTGTGTCCTGACACGGCTTTCTGGCACTTTTCATTCCCGCCTCCTTGTAGCTTTCCTTGCTACATTAACGGCACCAGGATCTCTTGCGTTCAGTTCACAGGAACAAGCCTTCATTAGACTTCCATAGAAGCCTAGACCTATCTTCTCATCTCACAGAGCATCAGGTACAAGTATGGAGTGGCTGAACGAAGTAGGAACAGGCCTGGGCCAGGCCAGTGGGCTCCTCTGACTGGCTCAGAGTTGAAGTTGTTCAGCTCTTCCTCATTATGAGTCAGACTGATTTCGGTAACTAAGACATCGGTCTTTCTTCTTCAAGGGCTGAAACACCTTAAGATCTACCCGGAGCTAAGGTAGAGGACTCACCTCTGGCAGATCCAAGCAGATAAAGACTCATGAGCAAGAGAAACTTCATCTGGATTTTGGGAAAGAGGGAACCCCGGTGGAGGGCACCCGAGAGCTGTGAAGAGAAACTGAGCAGAAGCTCCCAGCGCTGAGTCACTGCTTCTGGGAGTTCTAGAACCTCAGCATCAACCCATGTTTGCTAACAATGGGCTGTGCTCTGAGGTTCTCCAACAACCCATCAAACTGTGCCAGTGCGGGTTATGTGTTTGCCACGTGCAAGGCGGTGTGTTGGGGCCCTCTGCCCTATTTTAAAAAATCTTATTATCAAAATAACATATAGCCTTTGTAATAAAATTTAAAAGCTATATCCTCTCTTCAAGTGTTCTTGGGAGTGAAGTGTGGCTGACTGGTTATTTTCTCTTTGGCTCTCTAAATCAGCCCTTCATTGACTCTGTACCCTGTTATGCCCAGATTTCAAGATCCCCCAAAGAACACCACCAGGGAGCCAAGTTCGATGCAAGACGCAAAAGAGTCTTTATTCGAGCTAGCTCGGGCTCCCCCCGCTCGCCGACGCAGTGGCAGGAAGCAGAGAGCTTTGTGTGGAGCGGGGTTTTATAGGGGGGTTGGAGTAAGGGGAGGAGAGAGGACTGTGGGCCCTGCCGACTGGCCAGGCGCAAGTCGGTGTCTTGTTACACAGGATGTGGTTGTATCTATGGCGCGCACTTCCCTTGATTATCATTGGTTAGTTTAAAGAAATCCTAGGTGTGGCTAGCAGAGGCTTGGGCTTCCGGGAAGAAGCTCCTTGCTGAGCACATGGCTCTGCCCAAAAATGGAGGATTCGGGGCGAGATGGAGGGCGTAGCCCTCGCCCTTTCATACCCCAGAGCTGACTCTATAACTTGATTCCCTGAGTGCTGATTGGGTTTGGATTCAGATTGGGTGTAGCCAATAGAAGATTGGAGGGAGGAAACACACACACACATACAGAGGGAGAGGGAGAGGGAGCGGGAGAGGGAGAGGGAGAGGGAGAGGGAGAAGAAGAAAAGAAAGGAAGAAAGAAAGAAAGAAGGAAGGAAGGAAGGAAGGAAGGAAGGAAGGAAGGAAGGAAGGAAGGAAGGAAGGAAGGGAGGGAGGAAGGAAAAGAAAGAAAGAAAGAAAGAAAGAAAGAAAGAAAGAAAGAAAGAAAGAAAGAAAGAAAGAAAGAAAGAAAGAAAAAGAAAGAAAGAAAGAAAGAAAGAAAGAAAGAAAGAAAGAAAGAAAGAAAGAAAGAAGAAAGAAATAGAGAAAGAGGGAAAGAAAGAAGGAAAGAAAGAAGGAAAGATTGAGATTGAAGTACTTGTTATTCCTATTCCTGCCATTCTTTCCATGATGGAGCTTCTGTTGAGTGTCCTCTCCTTCATGGTTCCAGCTCTCAGCCAGGCTATTGTAACATGTTTTTCTTCCCCTGCCCCCTTAGGCCTAAAGACAATGATAGTTTCTTTCTGTGCTAAAATCTGGATGCCCCAACTCCCTTCCCTCCCTCCCTCCCTCCCTCCCTCCCTCCCTCCCTCCCCCCTACCTCCCTCCCTCCCTCCCTCCCTTCCTTCCTTCCTTCCTTCCTTCCTTCCTTCCTTCCTTCCTTCCTTCCGTTTCCTTAACCCTGCCCACTTCTGTAAATAGTCTCATCATAAAGGTCTATATCAACCATGGTTTTGGCAGGAAGCAGATGGCAAACTGAAATGGGTAACGAGAGAATTTACATGCTATGGGCACAGAAAAGGGATCAACAAGGGATAGTTGAAAGCTGTGCCTTGAGCTGTATGTTCTTTCTCAGGAGTAGCCAAGCTGAGGGGACAGATGCAGTGAGGCATCCCCCTGGTATAAAGCTGGAACTTTGTGGGAACTGGGTGGTAGAGAGCCCCCAGCCTTCATCTACTTCTTCCCTGCCTGCCTCTCTTGGACCACAGTGTGCTGGATCTAGAGTAGATGATACTCATCACTCTATAATTATCTGTTTAGTGTGTGTTTCCTCCATTAGACTCTAAGCTCCTTGAAAGTAGGTTCCTGCCTGAGTCCCTGTTGTATCCCCAGTACCTTAGCAGCATATTTGCCACATTAAAGGTCCATAATACATTTTTTTCTGAATGAAGGAATGCATGAATTGCCTTTTCTGGGCCTCTCTCTGCATCCTGGACGAGAATCTATAGAGAGCCCCTAGAATGGGCTGGCTGAGGATCCTGGGTCAGTTGGAGAAGCAGGATCACCAGGGACAAAAGCTGCAGAGGAGGCCTACCCAACTTGGCTTGAGCTGGAGGACAAAACTAGGATTTCAAGGTCAGAGGCTGGGCTCATTTGGAATAAAGAAGAGCATGAAAAAACACGCTACCAATAGTTCCTTTCTTTCATGCGGAGTAAGTTTGGAGAAACAACTATGAGATCACATTGAGTCAGACTTTTGATGCCAGAAGCAGTGGAAATTAGTGGAAAGGAAGAGGCGCTGTGGTCTACACCACCCCCCAGTTTAAAGTTTAGCAGCACCCCTCTTTGCAATTAGTATTCCTTTCCGGGTCATCCCTGTCTCACCCCTCCCCCATATTGAGAGACAGGACCTTAAAGCCTGATTGTTCTCTCCTTAAACCCTGTGCTCCAACTTTTTCCTCCTCTTTTTTTTTTTTTTTTTTTAGGTTGGGTTTATGGGACTATAGCCCAGTCCCACTCACGGTGGCTTTCCCCGAGTTCTACTTTGGAAATCTCTTTCCTATGTCCAGTAGCCTGGCACTTCTAAGCCCAACCTGTGAGTGTCTGAGCACACCGTATAAGAAAGCATGATGATGGAGAATTCATTGTGGAACTTGGAGCGTTCTGGAACTAAGACATCCAGAGGTGCTCCAGTCCCCGCCTCCTTTCTCTCCCGATCTCTTTTGTCCTAATGTTCCAGTTCCAGTGCCCCTAAATCAGTGGTTCTCAAGCTTCTGGCCCTTTAAATACAGTTCCTCATGTTGTGACCCAACCATAAAATTATTTTCGTTGCTACTTCATAACTGTAATGTTGCTACTGTTATGAATCGTAATGTAAATATCTGATATGCAGGATGGTCTTAGGCGACCCCTGTGAAAGGGTCATTCAACCGCCAAAGGGGTGGTGACCCACAGGTTGAGAACCGCTTCAATGACCACAAGAATCAGCCAGCTCAGCCCCTGTAATGTTTGTGGCCTGGCTCAAAAAGGTGAGCTGAGCCGATCAGAGTCTTTTCCCAGGAATTTGCCATTGAAACACAGAAAGACAGAGACAATTCTCCAAAAGTCATTTAGCCTCATGTGCTGAGACCACTATTTGGGGCCAAAAGGAGGGTGAGCAAGCTGAGAAGTCCAGGAGACGGTAACAGAGAGAAAAGAACACAGAAGAGATGGGAGACACCTTGCCTCATTCAGTAAACCTTAACTAATGGGAAATTACTTAGATGTCCACGCAGGGAATACACACCACCCGGACTGGGCCACGTGGAGACCTGAACACATCTGTGACCTGAGATGGGGTTCTGGCTACACGGCCGTGCTAGTTCTAGTTATTTTGTAGGACTTCGTTTCTTTTAGTCTTCCTCCCTATGTCCCTACTGCTCTTGTTCTAAACTCACTTTCCTCTATTCCTTCTATTTTGAGACTTCTGCTTACTCACAACTCCTACTGATTCATAACTTTTGCTTACTCACAGCTTCTGAATGTTCATTATATCTGCTTACCCTTGACTTCTGAGGCGTGCCTTTGTCTGTCTTTTGATCCTAGTGTGTGTTGTTGACTCTCCTCACATTTGGTTTTCTTTGTTGTTTGTTAATCCCCCAACCCTGAGGATATTTTCCATTGATTTTTAGGGAGAGTAGAAGAGAGAGGGAAAGACAGATAGAAAAATCGATGTGAGAGAAACACATTGATTTGTTGCCTCCTGCACGATCCCCAACTGGGGTCTGGGCCAGGGAGGAACCTGCAACCAAGGTACATGCCCATGCCCTTGCCCTTGACCAGGGTCGAACCCGGGACCCTTTGTTCTGCAGGCCGAGGCTCTATCCACTGAGCCAAACCGGCTAGGGCTCACATTTGGTTTTCAAGAGAGAATCTCAGTGGTCTAACCTCTCACTGTCATCTCTTTTGCACAAAATTCCAATGCCAGGCTACCTCGTAGGCCATTTATGTGATTCACATGGCCAGAATGGAGGGTATCTGTGATCCCTAGCATGGCAATCCCCATGAAAAGACCTAGGAAAGGGGTTGTAGCCATGGCAACCATTTTCAGGCTTCCCAAAAGTTAGAGGGGGTGAGGGTGCAGTAAAATTGGAAGGCATGTTGCTTCCCCTGGGCAGTGCTACCACCAGGACCTTCTGCAACCTATCCCCACATCTACTTCCTTAGGCTCATCTTTCTGCTCCACCCCCTCTCCATCTGCATCGCAAGCTCCCTCCCAAGCCACAGGCATACACAGCTGCCAGTGTTTTCCTGAGTATGCAGCACACTCTGCACATGCATGGTTCTCTCCTCTCTTTTCCTGAAATCGTACTGCTCCACCTCATCTTCCTGATGAGAATGAATTCTCAACTCTTCACACACTCCCTGGGACGTCTTATCCATGCCAGTCAGCCAGTCACCACCTACAAATGGAAGACTTCCTATCTCTATCCATCTGGCCCACAGACACCTGGCACAGGGGCCGGGTGTGGAGGGACTGTGCTATGATGAGACTGTGCTGTCCCATGAGCTGGGCCTGGGCCAGAACTGAGGCTGCTCTCTGCAACCTCCCTTAGGGACTGATGGTAACCGGTGTTCCTCCGGAGAAGTCAGCATCCCTTCCTGGCCTCCTGCTGTGTGCTGGTTCCTGGAACAGGCTGTTGTCCTGACCTGGTCAAGCACGTACTAGTAATCTCCCCTCCGTGGTGGCATTCCCGTTCGGTACTAGTGCCCATGCCTGTCTCCCCCCCTTTACCCTGTGTAACTTGCTGGCACCCGTCGAGCGGTGCCAGGTTCCATTTTTTCTCCCATTCATCTAAGACACTCCTTGTATGTAAGATTCCCTTAATAAACTCGTTAATGACCAGACTGGAGGGGCCAGACTTTTTTTTTTCTTTCTTGTTTTTCCCTGCCCTCAACTTACCAAAGTAGATTTTCCATCTCAGGGCTTTTCCCTGGGTCTGTGAGTACAAACACAGGGTCCACGGAGCCTGTAGACCCGGGTTTGATTCTGCCATGTATCTTCTGTCACTTGGGACCGATGACTTCCTTTTAGTTTTCTCATCAATAAAATGGAGATCATAATGACACCTATATAGGCCCGTGTTTGAGAGACAGCTGGAAGAACCTTGTCTGGCATATGGTAATCTCTCAATGTCACGTGTCCTTCTGGGATGGAGTGTGTGACAACCTCCTCAGACTTCAGAGCTGGGCTGGGGAGTGCTGTACCCTGTGGAGCTGGCCCCCCATTTCAGTGTGTTTCCAGGTCTTTCTTAAGCTGGGGGAGAAGGGCCATGCAGAAGGGGTGGGGGGATGTATTTGCTCTTGAAGTCTGGCACTTGGGGAAGGGTGGACCCCACGTTATGGGATGTGCCGAGGGCTGCAGAGGAGCCTGAAACCAAAGCTACAAAACATTTC